AAGCTGATCAATTCAGTTCAACTTTACCTACAAGGCACTTCAAAAGACGCCTTGTGAAAAAGCAGCTTCTCAGAAATGCAGATCTCTGGTGGGCTCACTGAGGGGGACGCTGGCAGGAATACACTCCCCTCTCTAAAGCTGTGAAACTGCACAACTTCACATCCTACATGTCCCACGCTTCTTAAGCAGAACTGGTTTCTGTAACAGCTCACGCTAAGCTCTCCATCAGTCTTAACGCTAGGTGTGGTCCAAAGAGTCTATTACCACAACGTCATTTATCCTCTGAAATAAATGCAAATAACAGCATATTAGGTAACTAGAAGCCCTGAGCAGTGCTTGGTTAGTATCAAGACACACAGATACAGACACAATCAGACCAGATCAGAGCTCCAAAACACCAATACGCTGCCAAACGTGGCATCTTGTCAAGTGAAATTATCTTAAATAGAGTCAATATATGTAATATTTCTCATTTTATGATTGCTGTAAACTTATTTACACTCTTAAAAAGATGGTTCTTTAAACTTTCTTTAGTAAAGAAAAGATATAGAACCATGAACACTCAAAGAACACTTTGCATGATATGGTTCATCAGATTGATGGAGAATGTGCTGTAGACAATAACAATAGAACAACAGAAGAACCCTTTTGTTCAAAAATGTGCTGTAGAACCATCTACAGCACATTCTCAATGTGAAGAACCATTTCACCATGCAAAGAACGCTTTAATCATGCAAAGTGTTCATTGTTCTATATAGAATCATTTACTTTACTAAAGAGTGTTTAGTAAATAGTTATTTGTCTGCAGGTCAGTAACATGATTGGGTATAAAAGAGCATCTCAGAGAGGCTTTCAGAAGTAAAGATGAGGAGGGTTCACCACTCTGTGAAAGACTGCACCATCAAATAGTGCAACAATTCAAGAATAACGTTTCTCAACATAAAAAAACAAAGATCCATGGGTGACGTGATCATCTGTGAAGGCACCATTAATGCTGAATGATATATATATGCTTTGGCAACATATGCTGCCATCCAGACGACGTCTTTTTCAGGGAAGGCCTTGATTATTTCAGCAAGACAATGTTAAACCACATTCTGCATGTATTACAGCAGCATTGCTCCATATTAAAAGAGTCCGGGTGCTAAACTGACCTGCCTGCAGTCCAGACCTGTCACCACTGATAACATTTGGTGGATTATGAAATGAAAAATATGACAAATGAGCCCCTGAACTGTTGATCAGCTGAAATCCTGTATCAAACAAGAACAGGAAAACATTTCACTTTCTAATCTACAGCAGTGTCTCCTCAGTTCACAAACACTTCCAGAGTGTTGTTTAAAGAAGAGGTGATGAATCACAGTGGTAAACAGGCCCCCGTCCCAACTTTTTTGGAATGTGTTTTTGGCATCAAATTCAAAATGGGCAGATATTTTTCAAAAAACAATCCTCATTTCTCAAACATTCCTCAGTTCCAACATTTGATTTATTGTCTTTGTACTATTTTCAATTAAATATGGGGATTAAACGATTTGCACGTCATTTCAGTCTGATTTTGATTACAGGGTTGTAAGATCATTTCCCTTGACACGACAGCACTTTGGGCAGTGCAAGCTTATATTCAGGGAACTCGATGCAGCCCTATGAACATGAGGAAACACTGCGAGAAACCGAGACTCTAAAGGAGAACCCATCTTCCTCTTGGCTGCACCAGACAGCAGAGTTATAATACAAGCAAAAACAAGTTTACATGTTACAGTGGAAAGATCTGTGAGACGAGCCAATGAACAGCAATAAAATGAGTCAGATCTGATAATCTACTGACCCTGCTGGACATACAGGATGTTAGATATGAGAAAATTGTAGGTAAGAAGTTCTAATCAAACTTGATCAGTACTGACCCATTGATACTTCAATTTATTTCTGTATTTCTATTTATTTTTTTGATGATAGGAACCAGTGTGTGATGTGAATACAGCCATTTTATTTATCACCCAAAACAGCCTGAGAACCTACAAATGTCTGAATTTTTTTATATGAAATGGTAAAATAGTGGTGAAAGGGTGATAAATCTACAAAAACTAACTAAATAAATAAATACATTTCTTCGTGGTCTCACAACACTCTACATGCACCTCCGCACCATAAATATATTTCAAAAGATGAAGCAAAAATGTTCTCAAAATTGTATAACAATGTCTGGATTCATGGATTTATAACAGTTCCATGTAAAACTTTCTGTGAGGGAGTGTTTAGATGCAGCAAGTCTTCTGACGCCTGGTTCCCTTCGCCACCATTCTGTGGAACGACACGTTTCACATCAAACCACTCTGAACAACTTTCCCTGAATCTTAACGGTTTAATTATGCAGATATTTAGAAAAATTGGTGGAGTTGCCCTTTAAGACACTTTACCACCGAGCCCAAGCATCGCTGAAATAACAAATCTCTAAGATAAGTGTAAAGGAAAGGCCGGAAAGGAAAGGCTTACGAGTTATCCTCATCTACCCCCTCAGCTGTGATGCGGATGACGTTATTGGCCAAATTCCGCCGGAGGCTCGCATTACGCTGCATTCTTCACCCACGGCAACAAACCCCGTCTGTCAAAACACCACTGCCTTAAATTCCTTCTCCAAGCTGACATGGAACCTGCTTCCATGAGGAAAACAAATGTTTCCACTGCACCCTACGGCCCTGAGACAACACATTAAATCAACAAACGGTCCTTCAAGGAAAAACAGAATAATAAACATATAAATATACGATGCACCCTATGGTGCGCACTGAGCCGGAAAGAGAAACCGAAATCCCAAAGCTCCTATAAATAAATAAATAAATAAATAAATAAACAACACAGAGAACGCAAATCATAACTGGAAACCTCAAAAGAGAGCCTCGTCCTCCGCCCGGGTCATTACGCCAAACGGCATCCAATCGCATTACGTCGACTTTATTACATACAGATGTGCTCGTTTTCTCATTTCTGAGGTGCTGACACTTGTTTAGATAACATACAAACCCATGATTCCAGAGATTATAACGATAATGTTTATTAAACAGAACAAATATCTGGCCTGAAGCGAAAGCGAAGCTTTTTGAAATAAAGAAAGATCTTTCCTCTCATAAAAGTAAAGACAGTTCAAAAGTTAATGAGATCATATTAAAAAGTCCATCTTTATGGTGTATGACATCAGACGAACGTAATAAATGTTTTTCTGTTCCAGCCTCTGGGGCTGTGTCCAGTATTAATCTGCTTTGCATGGTCCAGTAAAGCACATGTGGCTCTTTTACTGTCCTGTTGTGGCTCCACAGCTGAATTAGATTAGTAGGTAAAAATAAAATAATCCTCCTTTACAGTAAAATAAAGCTCTGCTGATCGTTCAACACAGTTTAACAATAAATGGTCTTAAACTCTGGAGTTAATGTAGAACTGCTGATTCACCCTTTAACCCTGAAGATCAGCGCAGACTGCTGGTCACCATAGCAACACAGACAACAGTCTCGCCTAGCTAGTAGCTAACGAAACGGCAAAGAGAGAGATTTAAGATCTGGAGACGAACAGACTTATTAGCATTTATAATCGTTCCAGCTGGTTTCCGGAGTCGCAAAGCTGCAGTCAGCTTGTCATTCACCAGTTTCTCGTTTGAATTCTCCTGCGGAACGCGAAAAATCGAACAAGAAGCTGGTGAATGAGCGACTTCAGCCTCATAAAAGGTAGAACATTGAGAGACATTTTACGAGAAACTGTTCTACTTTTGTGGAAAAGTTTCCTGCTGGACATGCGAGAAAAGCAGCTGTAGCTTAGCTGAAGCTTAAAGCAGAGCAAAGTGAGTCTGTGTTTTTGTTTATATTATATGTTTTAGTCTATACTAGTACATTAACACATACTGAGACACGTTTACAGCCAAGACGGTAAAATGGACATTAAGTGTTGTGGCTCCCAAAGTGGTTTGATTTTTGTTGAAAGGAAAAAATGGCTCTTCTTAACATTTGGGTTGTGACCCCTGACCTACACTGTAAAAAAAGGTTCATCAGTTCATCATGTAGAGGACGACTGTTCTCATGATTCTGAAGACTGTGATTGGATGGATAAGGTTTGGTTAGCTGGAACCAAATACTGCAAAAGTGTAGGTCTCCAAAGGCAGTGCTGTATTTTGGCATTTCACAACACGAAACGAAGCGCCGGCATTCAAGTCCACGTTCTCCAAAATAAATGTGATGAGAAATTCCAAGTCTTTCTCGAAGTAGAAGGGTAAAGAAGGAGGATTTCTTCCCCTACCACAGCTCTTGGTCAGCACAGTCCACTAGAGCAGAGCTGGATGTAAATGTTTTGCGCAGATGGCACCGACGTTATATAACAATATATATCATTATCCTGATAAATCCTGCAAAAGTATGACCCAGTATGGTAACAAAGGTGTCAGGAAAAATTTACACTGTGATCATTTATCGTGAAAACTTCTTGAAGTATCATGATATTAGATTTGTGCCATATCGCCTAAATTAGTGTTTTAACATGAAAACGCAGAGACAGAAAATAAAAGTTCCCAAAAGGGGGCGCTATTTGCACCCCCTTAGAAAGGGAGGAAACCCACAATAGCAGGATCTCATGAATGTACATATTGTGCTGACAGTACTAAATTTCAGTAAGTGAAGTAGTTTATTACCCAAAGCGGAGGAGTTACTCAGCTTCTGAACCCAAAAACATTTTTGTGTGTCTTTGTTTTTGTTGTTTTTTCAGCGGCAAACAGTTAAAACCATTGCTTTCTTTTTATTTCACTTTATAGCCTCAAACTAAACAAGTTTTGGGCATTCTGTACATCATGTGGTCTTTATTTTTCCAGTGGTTGGTGCTGTCATTTTATTAATTTCTTCTTGATCTTACAAACATCTGAATTTCTTCTAACTACCTGAAGGACTACAACTACCATAAACACTAGAACTGAATGTGCTTCACTCTACCCAGTTTCAAACAAACGTTCCTCTTCTTTCTTTCAGGTCACTATGGGCTCCCATCCAGATTACGACTTTGAAGACCATTTCCATGACCATTACAATCACAGCTCCAACCACAGCTACAATGAAGACGAGGACTACGAAGAATTCTACCATACGGTCTGCGACAAACAGGAAGTTCGCTCCTTCGCCGGTATCTTCCTTCCTGTGGTGTACACCCTAGCGCTTGTGGTGGGCCTGGCTGGAAACTCCATGGTGGTCTTCGTCTACCTATCCCGCAAGCGCTTGAGAACGCTGACGGATGTCTTCATCCTTAACCTGGCCTTCGCCGACCTTCTCCTCCTCATGACCCTTGCCTTTCTGGGCGGCGGACGCCGTCAACGGCTGGGAGATCGGCGTGCCCGCCTGCAAGATAACCTCGGCCCTCTACGCCACCAACTTCAGCTGCAGCATGCTGCTGCTAGCCTGCATTAGTGTGGACCGTTACCACGCGCTGACCCAAGGCTCCACCGGCCCATCTGCAGGTAACCCACGCAAGAAGAGGGTGATAGTGTGCATGCTAGTCTGGATGGCTGCCTGCATCTTTGGTTTGCCGGACATGGTGTTGGCCACGGTCAAGCACCACTCGAACGGGCGTAAAGCCTGCAGGGCCGTGTACCCTTCCAGCTTGGCGAGACCAGCGAAGGCCACCCTGGAGCTTCTGGAGGTGTCACTAAGCTTCGTGCTGCCGTTCCTGGTGATGATGTTCTGCTACTGCAGGGTCGGTATGGCCCTGAGCCAGGCGGCAACCTCCGGGGTGAGAGGAGGAAAGCGGTGGAAGGCCTTCCGAGTGCTGATAGCTGTAGTCGGAGTGTTTCTCCTGACCCAGCTGCCCTATAACGTGGTGAAGCTTGTGCGGGCGATGGATGTCATCTACGCTGTTGTGACGGACTGCGAGGTAAGCAAAGGCCTAGACCGGGCCAATCAGGTGACGGAGAGCCTCGCCCTCACGCACTGCTGCCTGAACCCCGTGCTATACATCTTCATCGGCTCGTCCTTCAAAGAGCACGTGCTGAAGATCGCCAAGCGCTGTGGGCAGACCGGGAGACGCTACCGGCAGGGCACCGAACAGCCCACGGTGGAGATCTCACTCAGACCACGTACGACAAGTAATGCACAGTCAGAAGAGTCAGAGGACATGGACACCAGCACCTTCACCATCTAAAACACGGACTCGCTAACCGACAACCAGGGACTGCAGTTTGCATCGTGTCATACTACAGATTACAGTACTTTCCTAAGCTCTTAAACTGTGGGTTTATTATTCAGTCACTAACCTCTTTTGCTCCTTTGCACTTCAACACCCTAAGGTGCATCATTCCGTACCTACATTGAACACCGATCGCAAAATGGTGGCGTTTTAAGACTCGGGATCCTCTGTTGGGTCTGTGGGGTTAATCGTAAGGCTTGCTATTCAGTTAAGTTATTCAGCACTACTATAAAACTAATATGTAAGCTATGCAGTTATGAGCATGAGGTACTGAGGTGGGGCCACATACGGGCCCTTGCAGATCATCATACACACCATCATGAGTTAAACACCAGCATACCAAGAAATCTGATCAAGTATGGTTGATCATTCCTTTGTTATCTAAGCATGAGTACAAATGTAAGCATATTACAAAATATTTTACTACATGTACCTGTGTCAGAAGTTAAGGTATCTAGGACTGTCAGCTTGTTAGAAGTTGTGTTTTGTATACATTTTTAATATATCTATATAAAAAACAGACATTGTACAGAAATATATCTATATTAAAGCACTTTGGTAAAGAAATGTGGATTGTGGTGTTAGAAGTTTGGGGCTGTGTGTGGTAAATGGAGAGTGCTGATTAACCACAACTAGCTTTTGATTTTTATATTCTGATATATAGTGTAGGGACATGAAAGGTACTTAAATACTGAAACTTCCAATCGGGTACTCACTCCGCTTCAGCACAGGAAGAGGAAGAATATATACAGACTAACAATTCAATGAAAATCCACTTTTATATTCTAACAGGACTGTAAACTGTTACGGGTCTCCTCATATTAGTGACTGAGTTCATAAATTATACTTTGCCACTATGAAGCACGAGTGCCTAAACGTGACTGTGCTGCATTGTTAAGGACGTGGCTAAGAAGGCAGATGTAGTGCGGCTTTATAGCTCACTATGCTTATCGTCCCCTTGGAATTATGAGGTTCTGACATTTATGTCAAAATTGGATTATTCTCAGATTGTTATTCTGTGACAATCTTAACATACTGTGAGGTGTTTTGCGTTCATTTTCAGACTCTAGAAAACAAAATCCACGAGCCAATCAGCACTTCAAATAAGAGGACCAAGCTCTGCTTATAAAACTTTATAAAACACGAAATCGTTGCTTCTTTAAAGGTCTTATTGTCTTAAATGGTATAAAATATTAAGACTTAAATGGTTGTTAAATAGTGAACATATGAATTAATGGGGGTCTTAATTACAACATACATATGAATTTAATTTCTCCATCCATCTTTAATTTTCTTCTTTCTCCTAAAATGAGACACTTCGGCTCATTAGAGTCACGTTTCTGATATAAAACAAAACCTCACACAGCCTTCAGACTGACCGGCTACACTGACCTGCTGGGATAGTTTATTACAGTAGCAGGTTTCTGTCTAAACTAAAGGCAATGAATGGTTTCTAACTAAGACTGACCCCTGCAGTGGACAAAATATTTAGCACCGACCATCATATTTAATCTGCAGTGCTTTTTGAATAAGAAAAAGATGATTTATCCTAATATATGAAAAAATGTCATAATAAATAAATACATAATATTAATAAATGTCATAAAAATGTAATAGAAAGCATTAAATTTAACGTTCTGATACATGCAGACGCTCTGTACAAATGAACCGTTTGTGTTCCTTGAAAATCTTTGCTTCTTTTCATGTTCTGCCAGATGGAACCTTATAATTCCAAGCAGAAAGTGAGTTCTAAGGATTAGAAGGTTCTATCTGTGTTTGACCTCTTCCAAAAAAAAACCTCATATACAAATCTGACAGGATTTTGATATTTACATTTAGAACACATTTAGGGTGCCTGTCATTTTAATGGATTAAAGAGCCGTGTTCCACATCAGTTCTGCTATCTGGAATGCAAAATCTTTGAAGCTCAATCTCTCAAAACTGCTCAGAATGCAGATGGAACCTCATAATTCCAAGGGGACGTTATTCTGGCTGATGACAGCTAGACTCAGAACCAGGGGAAATATATGTCTCTGACTAACTAACATGTTGGCACATCATCCACTGAGGAGAAAAGACCCCGTGTAGAAGATGACGAGTCCTCATCAGCATCCAGTGCTGCAGCGGTTAGTTGTAGTGTAAGCTCTTCTGAAGAGGCAGCCTCGGTTACTCATCCAAAACATTTCCGATCTCCTTCTGATTTGTTTCTAAGGACACGTTTTCAAATGTACTCTGTTCTGCTATGTTAACATCAGTGCTACCACCTAAAAAACAAAGCCTCCTGCTCCAGTCCTCTGTTCATTTCAGCTGAAGCAGCTTTTCCTTGTTTTTTCCTTCTGTGCGGTTAACTGGACATCTGTTCGTTAACTCTAGCGGATACTCGAGTATCAAAATTAGTTGGAATGCTCATCCCTAAAGCAGTGAATGGGTGAAATTCCTAAATCACACCACTGAATTATTGGTTTAAATCAATATCTCTGGCTCCTTTAACCTGCTACCTGTTTCAGCCGAGCAGGTAATGTGGTTGTTCTTGCTTATATTTTGCCAGTTTGGTTTAACAAATCTTGTGTTTACAGTTTATAAATCGCTGCTTGTTAAATTACTAGAACAATTACAGCCTCTAGGCTGATACTGCAGGTTTCTGTTACTGTTATTAAAGACAATTATTATTATTAGGCTACTAATAACAATAAAAAGCTTTGTCTTATATGTTTTTATTTATTGTAATGTAACCACAACGTCAAAATCATGTAAGCCCTCGTTCATATTTTGCGACGGAAGGCACTCTGTACTCACTGCATAGAAGGCTGCAGCACGGCTTTATCATCTTTTTAATGAGCATGACGATGATTTTTTTTTTAAATGCTGCCTTGTGCTGCTACAGTGCTCTGAAGCCAGATAACATATTTAGACTGATATGAATATGGATCACAGTTTAAAAGAAAACAAAGATTTGGAAACAAATTTGACTATTTTTATCAATATTAGAGCAGCAGATATCACATTTTCTGATGTTTAAATCGTCCAACTTAATTGGCAACTGTGTCAGATTAAATCTATCAGCGATTCCTGATATTATCGATTATCTTAAGCCTATATTAAGTTACATTAGTCTCGTAGCTCCAGTGTAAAACTAAGAATGCATTATCAGAACCTGCCAAGATCAGAGATTTTTGCTCCTTCCTGGCAAATGGCTAGTTTATTTATTTATTTATTTATTTATTCATTCCTTTTTTAGCCCATGTGCTTTAATTTTATGATGTAAATACTGTGACACATGTAAGCGTACTCATTCTGCATTTAAAAGCTTCTTGATTGGCCATCGCGAGGAAATCCATCAGCAATCACGATACTATCATCAATCAGCTCAAGCCTGCACACTCTCTCACATTACACACGCTTGGTGTGCCAAAGAAGAGCACTGGCATCTGATTCTAATGAATTACACGGCTTTGAGGGAAAATCAGTGAAGTTCTCATAGCTGCACAGAAAGCTCAAACTGAGAAGGGAACACGACTTCCTCTCCGAGCAATAAAACTAATGGGCCATATATTTTGCTTACTTGAAAGCAAACACAAAAAAATGCAGTAATTCTCTCCATCCTACTGACGGCCAGCATTTTTAGACAGAATGAGCTGGATTCCTCTATTATGACCATAAACACACCCCCTTCAATAAATTATCAAAGTCTTAATGATGTTTCCCCATTAATCTGAGTCCTTTAGAGAGCCAGCATCCGACCCTCTCCTCTTACAGCCATGGAGACCCCAGTTGAAATCAATCAGTTCCACCACACTGCATTACACTGAGGCTGCCTTCACATGCAGAAACACCAAAAACATGAAAATCCTTTTTCCATCCAGCACAACTAAGAAGGTCAAAAAGCAAACAAAAAGAAATTACTGAGAAATAATGAAGGCGTTTCTAACTGGAAAGAGAGAAAGCGGTTTGGACAAGATGTAAGGAACGCAGTACAGAACAGGGTTCTCAAACATCAGTCCGGGAGTTTGGAGATTCCAGGAGGTCAGCACACCGTGTGATTGAGTTTTTTCCACTTCTACATCAGCTAATTATGAGTCCAGTCAAAGTTTATTTATGTAGCGCTTTTTACAACAGCTGTTGTCACAAAGCAGCTTTACAGAAAAATCCGGGTCTGAGCCCACATGAGCGTTGCCAATGGCAACAGTGGCAAGGAAAAACTCCCCAAGAGCAAGAGAAGGAACACTGAGAGGAACCAAGACTCAGAAGGGGAACCCATCCTCCTCTGGTCAACACCGGATAGCAAACAACTGTGGTATAAAATATTAGAATACAAAACGGGGAAAACAGGTGGAGCGATGGTTAATTAGATAGTTTGAGTTTATGCAGCAGCAGGAGGGTCAGTTCATGAGGGGGAGGTTTGCACAGGGTTTGTACAGCGTGAAGCTCCATGGTGGTCAAAACAGTCCAGAAGGCTGAAACGGTCCATCATCAACAGCATCAGACGCAGAGAATGGGGAGTTGATTGTTTTAATTATTACCAACATGTTACCAGAAGTTTCCCCAACACAATCCAGTGTTATAGTACAAAGTAACGTGTTACGGAAAGGTAATTATTTTTTGTGTAACGCAGTAATGCAGCACATCACAGGTTAAATTCTTGTAATCACATTACAGTTACTGACTAAAGCCGTATTTGAGCTGGATTAGTTTTACCAGAGAAGGTCCTGTAACATATTAGTTAAGGATTCAACTGGCCTGTCTGTACAGGAAAAAGGATCCGTTTGATTTCCCCAGATCTGAAGGAAAGATTAGAATTTGTTCAGTCAAAGAAAACAACACAAATGTCCAGGTAATGCCAGATAGAAGACCAGTAGGCAAGTAAAGTGGGCCTAAGAGAAGGACAGGATTTTTTTTTTGGCATATAAATTGGCCCCTATGTTATCATAAAGTCACAGAAAACCCCCAATGATCAATATTTCAGGATTTTCATGATTTAGTTGTAGAAAATCTCATGACATCTGCTGAGAAATATCCGACACACAGCTGGTCAGTTGTTTATCGGAAGACATGGAAATGTATAATTGCGTGTCATCAGCATAGCTGTGAAAATCGATATCATGTTTCCTAATGACATCACCTAGAGGTGACAAAGAAAAAAAGCAAATGCCCTAAAACTGAACCCTGTGGGACTCCACAAAAAATATAACAAAAAAGTTTTCCCACGAAACCAAGAGCTGTTTATTAACTAAACATGATTTAAACAATTCTAAAATGGTGCCTGAGAGCCCGACCCAGCATTCGAGATGGTATATTTCAATCTTGTGATAAACGGTATCAAAAGCTGCATCCAATAAAACCAGAATAGAAGGATTTTGTGAATCAGTGCTGAGCCTGAGGTCATTCACAACAAGAACCAATGCTGCCTCTGTACTGTGGTTAGAACGAAAACCTGACTGAAACTTATTAGTTATTAGATATGCATTTACTTGTTTGAAAACAACTTTTTCGAAGACTTTGCTTAAAAAAGTAAGGTTTGAAATTGGTCTGAAATTATTTAGCATGGAAGGATTCATTATATTATTTTT